CCTTCACCACATATATTTCTGCAGCAGTGGTTTTTCTCTGTGACTCGAGGCTACCGGTAAACACACCTAGGACACTCAAGGGTGTTTTCGAACCATACGGGAAGAGGCGGATAGGAGATTTCTTAAGGCTCACGTTCAGTTTCTTGTAGGTAGGCTCATCGATGATGTTTCGCGAACATCCCGAGTCGATAATCATAGAACAGCGTATGCCATCGATGGTTATACCTACATGTGTTGGCGGCTTGGTGTTTGACACTGCGAACATATACTCATGGATCGTGTCAACAGGGTTCTGCGAGGTGTCTGCACTTGGGAGTGATGTGGCATTATCATCGCTGACAGACTTGACTGGTTTGCCATTGCGGCAAACTGATGCAAAGTGGTTCATTTTATTACAGGTGTTGCAGCGTTTGCCCTTTGCAGGGCAGTCTCCAGTGTGAGGATAGCCATAGCCACAATTTCCACACTGTGATGATTTCTGGTTGGGACGTGCACGCCCTTTCTGTTGTGAAGAAACGCGATGGAATTGTGTAACCTTGTCTGCTTCGACTCCATCCGCCCGCTCATGTGATAACTCAAGTGATCGAGCTAGCTCTATAAGTGTGTCGAGAGATGTCTGTTTCTCAAGGGCGCGTCTACGTAACTGTCCTGACCGACAGCCGGTGATAATCTGAGTGACTAATTCACGTTCCACCTCTGTGAACTGACACTTTTCCGCTTCCTTCCGTAATCTGGTGCAGAATTGTGCAACGTTTTCATCAGCTTCTTGGGTGAGTCTACGAAACAAAATCGTCTCGTAAATGATGTTCTTCTTCGGCACGAAGTGGGCTTTAAGAGCATCACATGCCCTTTCATAATCATTGTCAGTCCCTGTATCAGGTAGGGTGTCGAACACATTCTGGAGCTGTTCACCTCCATAGTGCAACAGAAGGGCCCGTTTTCGTTTTGGTCCGATGATATTGAACCCAACCATGGCTCCTTCAAATCTTTTTATATACTGTTCCCATCTCTGACTCAAAGATGCACTGTCCCCGTGAGGGTCAAACGGTGGTAGAATGGGCATAGACATATTGGGCTATTCACTGGATCACATGAATGTCAATACGTGGGGCACAAAAGTTACTCGGTACACACTCAGTCACCATCACACGTACGTGTACGTACCGTCTGTGGAAAAAAAGTCAAAAGTTCACTTTTTTGTCGAACAGTAGAGCACAAAGTGGATCCCATCCTCGTCGCCATTGTAAAATCTCTATCTTTATGTAGTTAACAAAGATACATCTTGAACTAGGGTATTTAGGAAGTGAGTTTATTTATTCAACATCTTGACGTTCCGTTTCGAGCACTTACATTCCGTGCATGTGTGTGTGTACTCCCTGCCGTAGCTGGCAGTATATACCTGCGGGATATTACATGCATAATATTCCATAAAATCATGTTTTCTTCGTTATTGATGACGGAATATATATTTGTTCCTTGCAGGGGGAGTATAGAAACATATTTGCAATTATTATATTTAGGGTGCATGTACGGTTGAAATTTTTCTTGAGAAAAAAAATGAAAATTTTAGATTTTTTTAGTACTGAGCAAATGGAAGTTGAGCTCGCATGATACGTCATAGAGTTGCCAATTTGTGTTTTATTGATCACAACTTAAAAAATCCTAACTTCCTTATTTTTAATCGGAATTTGCTCAAACTTTCACTGACTTGTTTCTCTCATTTTTCTACTCCTATTAAAACTAACTTAATTTCAGGGTGGACTTTCCCTTTAAATGGATACCAAAAGCTTCATGTGGAGTTGGTGCTAGGGGGGATGGGGTTGGTGCAAGCTAGGTTCAAGAGATACAAATTATCGTGATAGGGTATGAAAATGCGAGGGCTTAATGGTGTACTGTTGACGCTTGGATGGATGGAGTTGGTTCAAGATTAGATCAAGATCGTGCTAAACTGTATTTGGAGTTAATGGGAGGCATGATTGAGTTGGTGCCAGGCTGGACAGAGTGAAATCATGCTAGGAGATAGATGGAGTTAATGTACATTTGTAAGGCTGGATGGAGCTGGTGCTAGGCTGGATGGAGGTGGTGCTAGCCTTGATAGAGTTGGTGCTAGGCTGGATGGAGGTGGTGCAAGTTTAGATGAAATCATACAAGGAGATAGATGGTGAGGAGACAAATTGACAGTGACAAAGAAAAAATCAATAAAAATTGGTATTCGTTAAACTGATATACCAATAGTTATTTTCATAAATACAAAATTTATCCTCCAAAAAGGTTTCTATGTTGAAAGTTGATAGCTTTTGTGACATATCCCCCCCCCCCCCCCCCCCCGGGCTCCACTTTTGCCCTGGGACGCCAACAAATGTTTTTCGAAAATGTTCTCTTTTAATGTATATTTATACCATCAAAAATTGTCAAGGGATAACAGAAATCCTTTGAAAAGTTAATTTTGACCCAAAATCGTGGGATTAGTACTTAAAGAATGTTCTATAGGAGTTTATCTGATTGTTGACTAAAAGTATTCACCAAATTGCATGAATCCAGTTAAGATATTTTAGTATCATAAATACATAAAAGTTGTTTTGACTTTCGAAATGATTTTTATTTTGGGAGTGAAATGGATGTTATCTTGTCGTAGCGACAGTTCATTAAATTAATAAAGGCCTATGGGAAAAGGCTAGCTAGCCTGGCTATTGAAGAAAAGAAGGAAAGTTCAGTAGGGTATAATTACTTATCACAGAAACAAAATAATATTGAGTCCTTATATCACTTAATTTTGCTGCCAAATTGGTTAGACAAATGGAAAAAAAAGTTTTAAGGTCTGAAAATCCAAGAGCTTCCCCGAGGCTTTGCCCCCGGACTCCACGCCGTATAACGCTCGGCTCTTTTCGCTTTACTTGGACACTCAGATTTCAATGTCCCCCCAAAAAATAAAAATGGATTGACGACCCTGTTTTTTTCAGTAAAACCACTGGAAAAAAAGTGGTTTAAAATTCAGTGAAAAGCTGTAGCCCCAAAGATATAGATCTGACAAGGAAGGTTTTATTTGGTTTCAAGTTGGTAGCCCACCAAAAGCGTTATGCTTATAGTCTAAGGTGAACTAAATTAGTGATAGTGTGTGCAGGGGGCACATGCCCCTTGCCCCCTCCCCCTCCCTCCCCCCTCCCGCTGGACCCGATCCCCCGTCCCACAGAGCGATGATGCCAAAGAAAAAAAAAAGTATTCTAAACTTAGACTACGGTTTTTTTTTTCGTAGAAAAGATGATAGATCACGATTTTCCACAAAAAAAAAAAAAAAAAGATGGGTGCACATCGGTGAAGTTCGCAAGTGATTGGCGGTAAAGTTACGCATCGCCGCGCCGCGCTACCTTTGCAAAATATCTATCTACTAACTTCTACCTAAAGGCTAAGTGAACAAGCTAGAAGAAACGGTCGTAGATCTACTAATATTAGAAAGGAAAACCTCGAAAGTTTATATTCATGACATTGAAATGGGTTTTGTTGCCACTCGTTTTCATTTTCGACTAATGGTGCGGATGATATCGGTATGAAACTATCAATTTCTCACATTTCTCCATGCGAAATATCGTTATTGTTTACCCACATACTGTGGTTCATGTAGGGTTTACTAGCGCGGTGGCGCGCATGTGTGTATATTACTAGTCCAAGCTCTCAGTCTGAGATGGACAGTCTTGTGAGTTTTAACTGTCATGTGCGTGTGTAATGTGTATGCCATTGATAGTCTGTTAGTATAACAGAGATATGATTCATGAGGATAAACATTTTCCGGAAAATGAAGAGGGCATAATTAAGGCCCCCTCCCTCGACTCTTCTTGTTCTGCCTGCTGAAAATCATCCAATCGCTGATGAAGAATCATTGACAACATTTGTGTTGTTAAGGAATTGACTGATGATGATGTGTTACACTTAAACTTACAGCTGAACAGCTGAATGAAGTCTACTTGATGGTACTTGGTAGAGAATCTAGAGATGAATTAAGAGATAATTTTAAAAACTTCAAAATCATCTGTAAAATTTGTCCAATAAATGACTTTTTGTATTGAACTTCAGGATGATCTTTAATACTTTTATCAAGTGAAATTTTCAGGCTGTTTCGGTTGAAGAACTTGCTTTTTTAATCAAATGCAGTCCTGACAATACAGGCATATTGGTGTGTAACGTTATTCATATTAGATAACTACTGTACATTTGTGAGTGTACTCTGACTTAAGAAACCTTTCTTCAAAGGTTTAGAATTCAGTCACTGCATGCCTTCAAGCATGAAACAAGTCTAAAACTATGTAGGGGAGATAAGAATTTGAGGAAGTAAGAATATCTTCAATTCTTCTAGTAGTAGTCGTAGTGCTAGATCAGGGCCTGACTAGATGCCTGCTTCTTTTTTTCCTTTTTCATATTCTTCAATCTTCATCATCATCTTATCTTTCCTTCTTCTACTTGTCTTTTCTGTCCTCCTCCTTCTTCTCCTTCTTCTTCTTCTTCTTCTAATTATTTTTTTCCTTCTTATTCCTTTGTCCTTCTTATTCTTTTATCCTTCTTTTTCTGTTGTCCTTCTTTTTCTGCTTCTTCATGTTCTGCTTCTTCTCTTTTCTTTCTTCTTCTTCTTCTTTTACTACTCCTCCTCTTCCTGCTACTCTTTTTCATCCTGGTTGTCATAAAGCTGAAGATGCAAGGTGTGTGCAAAACAGGTGTGGTTAGACAATAATATCAAGGATGCATGTAAAAATCCAGCAGCAGTAGCTCTCTATACTTTCAGCTTAAAAGCTTCCCTGTGGAGTATATGTATCTTAAAAAAGGTCACTACAATAAGAGGGCTGTAAACGAACAAAATTCACAATAAGAAAACCCCCAAAATGCAAAAACAAAAACAAAATGTCTCACTTGACGTTTCAGCATGACCAGCACTCTTGAGTTAAGTTTTCTCTGTTATGATGAAATGGTGAAAGCAACTTTTGAAGACATACACTTATTTTCCTCTTGGTCAGCAGGCATACCAGAAACCAGCCAGCACATGCTCATCTTCCAGTAATCATTCTATACTCTCTGCACTAGAGGTTCCAGGAGCCCTTGAGTTGGGAGAAGAGGTAGAGGTGGAGTATCATGAAACAACTCTTACACCAGCAGACCAGACTGAAAAACTGGTAAACGTATTGAACAGTGCACCTGAATCTGAGCTGAAGATGGTGAAGTACATCAACTCTAAAATGGCAGCTGGTATCATTGCTCACAGAGAAGAGAAAGGACAGATCAGTAGGCTCGAAGAGCTTTTGGTGATTCCAGGGGTAGGAAGGTGAGATAAAGTTTTATACCAAGACATTAGGGACTTTTAGATTCTGCACGACGAGAACGTGGACTGCCCTTTTAAGGCACTGGCAGTGACGTCACATTGCCTTAAAAGGGCAGTCCACGTTCTCGTCGTGCAGAATCTAAAAGTCCCTAATGAGAGATACTGACAACTTAAAAAAAGAGCATACTATAAAATAAAATTATTGTACTGTCACAGTCAGACATTACAAACTTGGAAGAAGTTTTTGAAGCTAAATACATACATATTTACTTGTATTCCTCTCCCACCAAATTTCTTTCACTACTGAACATGATTATTTCTTTTTAGAGGATTATCTGTCTACATATCTTTATCAAAGGTTGGTGGCAAAAGAAGACCATGTCCAAGCTATTTTTTTCTGTAACTGAACCACATATAAGATTTAAGCCATCTGATAATTATATCAAATTGATAGCCATACTAGAGCTTGGGTCTAAAAACTAAAAACTAAAAAAACTTTTGTCTAAGATGGGATTCGATCTCTTGCGTACAAAAGGTGATGTAACTAAAATCACCGCCTTAAACCGCTCGGCTATCGCTATCGGCTATTTTCTTATATATACATTAAAATGGATTGAAAACGGCTTCGCGTGGTGGATGCTTCACGGCTGCTCCATTAAACAGGCCCTTCTTTTACTTTTGCAATGCATATTGGCATGAATTTAGATCAAGATCTATCGGCAGATGTTGTTTTTTTGTTTTTGGAAGTTTATTTTCGTCTTCATGTCAACAATGCAAGATAAAATTGTCGGTAAGAACGATCGAGATTCAATTGTATTGAAATTACCGACCAATTCTTCGCACACGTACGGTATCCTCGATCGCTCAGACCATTTTTTAACATGTAAACCTATGGGGTAACCATGGAGACTGAACTATTTTCCCAATAACCATGGTTACTGGGATTATAGAACTGTTTTAACCATGGTTACTGGGAATTTTACAGAAATAGTTGAAGTTTATGAATGCAATTTCGACCAATCAGATGGCTGGATTGTGAGGTATATAATATCTTTAATAGCGTATCGTTTCATAGCTACATTTTTATGAGAAGATTATTATCCATATAATTAGATTCCTATACATGTATATATATTGTGTGCGATTATTGAATGTGGGACTTTGTCCGGACAATATTTGATTTTTCAGTGATTAAATGATGTCTCATATATATCTCCTTCTGTTCATTTAACTTCCACAGAAGAATTCTGGATAAACTTTTAACAAGTTTTGCCAATGGAAAGCAGGAGAAAACCAGGACAAGAATCGATCCCCAGAGTACTTCCCATACAGAGCTATCAAATGAAAGATTATCAGTGAGTCAGAAATTCATTGGAGTCCTATTGTTTCGAGTAGCTTCCATTTTGCATGTTGGACTTTTTTTTTATACAAGCTCTGTATTAAATGTACAAAACATAATGGGGTGTCTTTAACGCTCGAACTTTATTTTAGAAGGAAGTAGGACTGTGTGGGCATCTTTTTTTTATGTAAAGGACAATACTGTAAATCCATAAAATTCTTCAATATTTCACTAATTTCAAAAAGTCATTGTTATAATTCAGTCATTTCACAACAAGAAAATTGTGCGGACTCTGGAATACTCACAAAATTGCTGAAATGTATGGCTTTTCAGTTGTATAAACCCGCTGCTGCATTGAAAGAGCAGTCATTAACAGTATCACAGTCTAGTGTATAAGTCTAGTTAACAACTTCTTAGGCCTAATAATACAAATGAAGTGTTTCTCTTTGACAGTCGCCTCCATCTTTTTACTATTCAGGAGGAAAAAAAAGCTCCCCCCCCCCCCCCAACAACAAAAAAGGCCTGTGATATAAATTTTGTTACTACAAATCTTTTTTTTTGTCATGCATTGTATCAGTATACTCACATAGCACAATATATGTGAACAAATAGGCTTGGCCAGCTATAATAAGCGTGGCAGCCAGTTGGAAAAAAAATTGCAAAATAGTGAGGCCCTGCCTCCTCCTTTTTTAAAAGTCTGGACGAGAAACACATCACTTTTGTAATTTGGCTTTATGTCTAAAATGTCTAGTTTAAGCCAAGAAATTAAACTATTTGTGTACTCACCTTGATTTTATAACAATATTTAGGATTAACTTTCAATTTCCTCTGTAGAGTTTGAAGGATGTTGTAGCAATAGATGTTGGTCTAAAGCACATAGCATGGTTGCACATGGATAAAGACAGATGGGTACATAACTGGCACTGCAAGATGATCGAAGGCATCTCTCCTGGAAAATGGGATCCCATCAACTATCTCAGATTTGTAAGTTGGACTTCATTTAGGGAGCGGCTTGTTTCCGTTTAGAACATTGGATTGTGTTTGGTTCAGTAGTGTTTGGGGTCCGTTTTTATTTTTATTGGACGAAACTCAGGCTTGGGTGTTTACATTGGTACACTTTATATCCTTTTTATCATAATATGATTTTTGTTTATATGTGAGTTAGTAGAGTTATTCATTATTTTGCTTTGTTTATCTTGTATGAAACCTGGACATGCTTCGTTACCCATAGGTATGGGGTTTAAGGAAAATAATACTTCTTGGGTTAAACTTACAGCAAAACATTGTATGATCTGGGTAAGTATTTTGAAATTTAATAATCTGTCATTATTTGTTGTGACAAATATTAATTGCCCATTTATTGGCCACTTATGTACTTGTGTTGCATCTAGATTTACATTTGTTGTGATAATCCAAATATTAGTCCCTAAAATCAAAGATAAATTGCTTTGGAATACCACCCCAGAAGCACTGTAATTCATCTTCATTGCACTGTAATAAAATGTCTAATGATCCTTCGATCCTGTCGAAACAGATATCGGATACAGTAGAAGAGATGCCCAGACCAGATCTGTACGTTCTTGAGCACAAGTCCTTCACCTCCCTCAACAAAGGCACCTTCCAGACCATGCTCTTTGTGCGCTGCCTGGAGTCCATGCTCTACACCCGTTTGAACTCTGACATTATCGAAACCGGCCAGGCCAAGGCAATATCACTACCACAAAACGTTGTAGGGAGGCACTTTGATCTGCTTGTAGGGACCCAGCGCAAGAGTGGTCAAGCCCTGGCACGGGCGCTACTGGAGGAAGGCGTTGGAATGAGAAATGCTTGGTATCCTGTTCGGATCGGATATGAAAACATGGCCATATTTTGCAACGTCAATAAATACAAGAGGGAACATTTAGCTAACTGTCTCTTGCGAGCAACTGCTTTCTATGACATCCATATTGACAAGAAGCCAGGTTTTAAACTGACGTAATGCAGATGTGCTAGAAATTATGTCATAGAATATTTTATGCAATTATCTTCATTTGAATTGTCGGTTCTCACCATGTATGGTACAGAGGAACCTTGTTATACCTAGTTTTTCTATCCAAGTTCATTGGTTTTTATTGTTTTGTTATCCCTGACATCATTTATCATATTTAAAATAATGTATAATGCAATTTCCTAGGTAATAAGAAGTCTTGTTATAACAAGATTCCAATTTAATGCGGTGAATGCATTTTGTTAAAGATAATAAAACTCTAGCCTTTTAAAAACTTTTTTTTTTGTTAAAGAATTGTATTCCTGTACTAAAAATGCACTATTCAGTGTGCATAAGAATGAAATATTACGTTGTTAAATTCAGGCCTACATTTTAAATCTTAACCAAGCTTTTGCCTGCATTTAGCTGACAAGCAACAATACAATTATCTTGATTCAACTTTTTATGCCTCCGCTATGTAGCTAGAGTAGCTAAGTAGCAAGAAGAATTATGTTTTCTGGTTGTCCCATTCTCGTGATCGCGTAATCTCAAGAACTGATTGATGGATTACCACCAAACTTGGGTCATGTATATATCTTGTAGAGCCAATGAACTAATTAGATTTTGGGGTCACAAGGTCAAAGGTCACAGGGCTTATTATGTATGCAAAAATAGCTTGTGATCACGTCATCTCAAGAACCAATTGATGGATTACCGCCAAACTTGGGTCATATCTGTTTCTTGTAGAGCCGATGAACTGATTAGATTTTGGGGTCATGAGGTCAAAGGTCATGGGGCTCATTGTGTATTCAAAAATAGCTTGAGAACGTATTGTCAATACTGGCAGATGGATTACTATCAAACTCAGGACATTTATATATCTTGCAGAGCCAATAAACTGATTAGATGTTAGGGTCATGAGGTCAAAGTTCAAAGGGTTATACATGTATGGTATATGAAAAATAGCTTTTCATCAGGATATTCTGGAATACAATCAGGCTTGAATGTTGAAATTGCTTCTGTTTTGGTTTGTAAAATCGCTCGTTGGCGGAGGCATCAGTCGAACATCCATCTAGTTTCTTCTGAAAAATGTATTTATTCCCCTCTCAGATTCAAAGATTACTACAGGTATACCCTATCTTCACATGCCACTTCATCATCGTGTTTTGTCTGAAAACCAATTCTCATTTACTTTCACCGTCTGCCTTTTAGCCTCTCTAGTTGTCTGTATACTTCTCGAGTTTATGCATCAGTTGGATAAGTTTGGGTTTCAGTTATAAAGCTCACCTATGGAATTCTTACCATGGACTCAAGCCAACACAGATACTTTCATACAATTTTGAAAGGTGAAGAAAAAAAAAATTGTCTAGAATCTTGTAGCTACATACCTTCATAATTTGTGAGTTCAAATGATAAAGGATCAAAATATTTCTTTATGTTAATACAAGTAATGTTATAAAGTTGTGGTAGACTAACACGTCAAGTGATCAGTGTGAGGGAGCCGGATAGCTTTTAATTTGTTTACAGTCTCTTGCCCTCTTTATTTATCCATTTGCAAGATACCTCAATCCTTATTATCAGATGTTATGGAGCTTAACATGTTCCTTCTTTGGTAACAATACATGGTTCATTTACATGTACATGTCTTATGATCCCCTTGGCCATTATGCTTAGTCAAAGCTGTCAAGTAGCTTTGAAGGAAATCAGAAGAAGACATTTTACAACAAATTTGAAGGGAAAAAAAGGTATTGACATTTTAAGAGATGAGATCACTAAAGAAATAATTTCAAATTGGAAAGATACACAGCTGTTGAAACACAACTGATCTACTATTCTTGAACAATGACATTGTAGGAATCGCTAAATGCAGAATATCATTGCCAAAACCATTTAATGTAATTGCAGGTTATATGAATAAAAGTCATAAGATGCAATAAAATGGAAAATACACCTGTTTATACTATATTCAATGCTGAATTTCATTTTCCTTTATTTCTGTACCGAGTTTTGGGGCCAAGGCAACAAAAACCTACAAAATTTCATAATAACAGTTAATGAATTGGGCAAATAATGTAACTCATTATAGAATAAAGAATTCATGGCTAAGGCACTTTTTTCTTGTACACAGACCCCAACATTTTCACTATGGTGTGGACCTCCAACATTTTGCCCCAGACCCTTAGGAAAAATGAATGTAGACCGTGAGTAGAGGTCTGTCATTAAACAAATGTGATTCTTTACAATGCTTTTCAAGACGCACCATAGTATAATCCACTCCAATCCAGAGTATTTGATATAGTGCCTTTTCCTTGCAGTTACGGGCTCTTCACAACATGCTCCAAAATATATTATAAGGACCACTTAAAGGAGACAGTCATTGAAAATCACAAATAAGGCCAAAAATTATCACTAGAAACCAGGAAGCGTCAATACAGATGACGATCATATAAGTTTTAGGTCAAATGCATATATATCAGAAATAAAAGCACCTCTCAAGATCCGAGATATACTTGTGCTTAACCTGCAAATTTGGTGATGTCGCATCAAACTCCCAAACCTGCGCAAGCAGACAATGTCTTATAACGAATGAACATATTTTCAGTGTAATTATTTGATTAATTTAAAACATGAATGCATTTCACATCATTTTAAAAGGGAAATGATGCTGAAGCTGGAAGTAATGATCCTTTGCTGAGAGACATTCTGGGCAAAGATTAAAGGAAACCAAAACCTTCATACTAAGTTACTTTTATTGTAAAGTTTAAGATGTTTGAAAAATATCAGTGAAAATTTGAACAAAATCGGGCAAGGATTAAGGAAGTAAGAGCTTTTTTAAATTACTAGTCACTAGAGGGCGGTATTCAATTTGATGACATCATCTGTAAACAACTCTCCATGCCTTTTGTACATCAAATTTCATGTTTTTCCTTCTTTCTTGTGATTGAGATAATGTACTCCCCTGAAAGCAAGATATAGAATGCAAAATGATATTCTACTTCACATGTTATGAAGTCGGATCAAGAACACAAATAAATATGAAGAAAACAAAAAAATTGTGAAATTTTATGTACAAAAGGCATGGAGAGTTGTTCAGAGATGATGTCATCAAATTGAATACCGCCCTCTAGTGACTAGTAATTTAAAAAAGCTCTTACTTCCTTATTCCTTGCCCGATTTTGTTCAAATTTTCACTGATATTTTTCAAATATCTTAAACTTTACAATAAAAGTAACTTAGTATAAAGGTTTTGGTTTCCTTTAATGATGGATTAAAAAAACACTTCAATATCAGCTCACTTTCGAATTGATAAGCCTGCTAAATAAAAATGGATGGTGTTTGTTCCTGTCTGAAACACTGCACATGCATTGGGTATGCAGCTGAATGTACAAGGGTGTCTTTTTTTACAAGCCATATTGAAGCTTAGAAAATGTTTGAACATTTAGAGTGAGGCAACAGATCAAACAGTTGCAATGATGATGGTAAGAGAAACAAGTGAAGAGACAACGAAACAGGCATTGAAAATGTATGCATTGTTATAGGACATTGTATGCTTATGCTAATTTGGTGCCTTGAGTGACGTCACAAATCTTGGCAGTGTTCGGAGAGCTATTCAAATGCGAAAGTGTGGCTGTATCTTACCGTTATAAAATCGAGGGGAATTCTGATAACTTTGTCCGATTTAACCTTCCCTTTATGCAATGATCAATGAACCTCTACTTTAAACACTTTAAAAACACCAAATGTCATACAAATATAGCAATCAAAGGAATCAATGCTTTCCAACAATATATATAAGTGGGTCTTCAAAGGTTTCTTGAACTGGTCTACACATGTAGCAGTCTTTAGAGTGGTGAGTTGCTTGTTCCACAACCTTGCAGCAATGGACGGGAAAGCAATGTGTCCAGCATATTTCTTGGAGAGGGGCCGAGTCAACCTTAATCCAGAGTCTGCCAGAGTGTGTTCCATGCAAGCAGTTATCAGTCTTGTGTAACTAAAGTGTGTCCTGGTTCATATCCCATCCTTGGACACATGTTACACATCTCCTCATTGCAGAGAAAGAGCCAAACTAATTTGCTACCACAACGCATTGTCCACTTTGGGCTCAGGTCAGATTTATAATAGACGTATCTTATTTTCTCATCCAATCCTATCACATACATGTAATTTTGATCACTATATCGGTAATTATATCCAGCAGAGTATAATACATGTTCAAGTAGAAAATGCATACCGTGACATGCCTCTCCCCTCAAAGAGGATGATTAAAGTGTGATGAAAAAAACCTGGGTTGATCATACCACTAAGTTAAAAATCTATGGAGCAATGCATTTTACAGTAATTTTACTGTAATTCACCAGTCACAGTCCGACAAATTAAGTCCTATGTCATGAATTACTGGCTGATCCTGCTTCTGACTTGCTCGAGTCTCCCAGGTCTGAAAATCCAAGTTTGGAAAACGATTCCCTCTTCATTAGATCCCTGAAAACAAAGATGATGCAGTAAAAATGGGATACTTTTAGAACTGTACATGTAATGCATGAATCCTCTCTGATTTCCTGAGGCAGAGTAGGCTGCTGTTCTATTCTTAGACGAAACCATTATAATTTTATTTCACTTGAACCTTGTCAAACATGTAAAAACTGATACAGGGTTCTACATGCATTTCTGCTTTTGGATTAATGCATACTCAGACCCGTTGAAGATATTATAGTAACATGAAACAAAATTGAATGTAATTTGTATGTGTTACAGGAATTATGTCCATTGGAGAGGAATCCTTGATAATTCTTGCAAAGCACCTGTAAATTTGTTGTGCATAAGACCTGTACGCATAAAGAGGGTTCTGTGTCACATAAATACAAGCTCTTTTACACCAGACCAGTCTTGAAACCATTTCCACAAAGTTCTTGTCTTACAAAACAATACTTTGATGTGATGTGAAGGAATTACCAGTACTAATTATGAGAATTAGTAATTCATGTGAATGGTTGACGACAATATATATTGTTATCAACTTTTAATTTTAATGGCAAAAATGGTAGAAGAGAAACATGTTTGAGTGTCTTTAAATACCTTTCCATTCTGCATTCCAAATAGTTCTTAGACTCCAGTCTGCACTTGTGATTATCATGGTTATTCTCTCTCAGGCAATCCATGAAGAGTTCTTTGAATTTTCTGCATTCTCCTGTTGGGAAAACATATACCGGTAGACTTTAAATGGACAATCAAAAAAATCAAATATATATTTGGTTTCAAATTTAAATTTTAATATCAATATACAACTCCTTCAATTGGACCTCAATCTCCTTGAACGTGTATTGGTATTCCAAAATTTTATTGTATCTTTTAAAGCGCTTTTGTTGCATCTTTAATATCTCCCATACTCCTATAGGTATTGATAGACCACACACGCACATTAAGAACCCATTGCACTATTCGTATAAGAGTAGGGGGAAACCCTGGTGTAATGGTCCACCTGCACACCCCGATCAGGCCGAGTATACGGCATCTGCAAGAATCTTCAGTATTGAAGGAGGCAGATTATCTTGAAGAAGAAGTTTGCAAGAATTTTCAGTCAATTGAAGGAGGCAGACTTGATCATCATCAGAAAAAGACCTGATTAAAATAAATAGACCATAGTATTTACAACAGAGTCAATTGCTAATAATGCATGCGTATTTACCTATAGGCTCTAGCACTGCACTACGTGTTAATAGGCAGCATTTGAACACATGAATATTCAATACACTCACAACACACAAATGCACACAATCATGCTGATGCGGCTGATCGGCAAGTTTGACAGTAGACTCACAATTTGAATTTTTAAATTATTCTTTCTAACATCGAATCGCATCGGAAAGTTGAACAAATTGTATTTTACTACTAGACTCTAGAGACTAGAGTCTAGACCTAGATCCATTTATTTAGGTGTCATCAATTGTCACTAAAGTACCGATTTTGAGTGAAATGAGTTAAATTTTGTACAGTGGTGTTTGAAATGTGAGAATCAATAGCACAGCTTTTAATACACAGCCAGGATAGTGCACCTATGTGTGCGATGTGCCCAGCACTCAGCAGCATATTTTTTTTTCATTCAAATTTGAATACCACCTCGAATGCAACACATGGGACCGAAGCGAACATGCAGCAGATTAAGCAAGAAACTTAACTATTCTAGTCTAACGTACGTCTAGGCCTATGAATGATTGGAATCAAAGAGAGTGAAAGCGCCTTACCCTCGTGATCCAAAGGGAAACTTCCTTTTTCTGGTGCTCTTGGTTTAAAGCTTTTCACACCAAAGTTCATTGCAGTCGACATGACGATTGAAGACAAAATATATTACGCAATCACTCGGGGTGGGGTGACGTCACATGCATGTGTACTGTACGTACGGTTGTCGTTGTTGGTTGTATTTATGGCGTTCAGGCGGAGCGACTTCCAAAGTGGGGGAGGGGGGCACCAACAAAACAGGTACTTTCTGGAAGAAAAAAGGGCACCTTCAAAGGGAAATCTCAAAGCGAAAATATACAATGTGTTAGACATTGGTATATACCCAGGCACGTAGCCAGATCAGAGTTTGATGTTTGGGGGAGGGGGGGGGGGGGGGGGGGGAGGGGCACATACATGTAATCGATCAAGGTAAAAAAAAAAGGGGTCTAAAAAAGTTCAATCGATCTTGGAATTTTTGGGGGGGCACCCCCCCCCCCCGTGCCCCCCCCCCAGGTGGCTACGTGCCTGTATTTACCCCTACATTGTGATTACATTATCAGGGATGATTTCAATATTTGTTTCACTTTACACATCATATAAGATACTGCTTAAGCATCATACTTTGCAGTTGGGTGTGATGGTCTGAAAATTCATTTGCGAGCGATGAAAATTTTAAAGATTTGTGAGGACATCTTATAAAGAGCTAGAAAAAACCTAATCCTAAGTGATGGGGTTAATAATTAGCACATTCTTTGAACAGTAGACTGAAAAGACCTTTGATAAGTTACATAATCATAACATCTATAACTACGAGCGAGCGTAGCGAGCGAGCTTTTGGGGAAATTGCTCTTAGTCGCCTGTAATTAGGGGCACGTTTAATGATGGGAGGAAAAGGGGGCACTTATCAAAAGGGTTAAGACACTTATTGGAAAAGAAAAGAAGCATGTGTCAAAGTAAAAAGGCTAATTATCAGAGGTAAAAATGGGGCACTTCTTACACCTAAAAAAAGAGGCACGCACCAGGGATGAAAAGGAATTTTATGAGAATGGAAAATGAGCATTTGTCGATGGAAAAGACGCACCCATCAGATTTGATAGGGACATTTTTTAGAAAGGAAAAAGGGGCACATATTGTAAAAAGGGTAATTATCAGAGGTGAAAAGGGCAGTTACCGCATCTGAAAAGGGACACTGACCATACGTGAAAAAAAGCACCTGTGACAATAATAAATGGGCACTAATGATAAAAGAAATGTGCATGTGTTGAAAGAATAGGGGCACCGATCAGATTTTAATAGGGGCATTTATTGGAGGTGAAATGGAGCTTTTATGAGAAGGGGGAAGTGGCACTTATAAGAAGGAAAAAGAGTATTTATTAGGAACTTGTCAAAGCAAAAGGGAAACCCCTCATATTTGAATGGGGCAATTATCAGAGGAGAAGGGGGCGCTTATCAGAAGTGAAAAGGGGCGCTTCTCGTACCTGAAAAGGGGAACTTACTAGAGATTAAACAAGGCACTTATGAGAATGGAAAATGGACACTTATTGCAAAGGAAAAAGGGTACGTGTCAAAATAAAAGGGGCACTTATCAGAGGTGGAAAGGGGAAGGGGAACTTTAAAACTTTAATAGGGGCACTTGTCAAAGTATAAGGGGCACTTTTTTATGAAAAGGAGGCGCTTTTGGGGTACTTGAAAAAGTGGAGGGGGGGCACTGTGCCCCCGGAACACCGCCTCTACCTAGGGGTAATTGTCTGGGGGGGGGGGGTAGTCGTCCATGCATGTTGCCCTAGGGCGGTAGTTATCCTAAGGGTGGTGGTTATCTGGGGGTGGTTGTCGATGCAGGGGGTAGGTGTCCTAGAACCCGTTAGATCTTGAGTAGATCAAGATGGATGCCCACGATACCGACCCAGACCAACCAAGTCTCACGCCTGTAGCTGGTTCCTTATGTTTATTTTGCATGGGAGCAGAAAGTAACTGTTCATTACTTGTTGTAAACACTACATGCATATAAAAAAAAAGATCAAATTTGAAATGTAATTCTTTTTTTCTCAAAGAAAGGACTTATGATGGCTGTGCATTTAACCCATTTGGAAGTGTACAGCCCCCCCCCTCCAGGGGTGTCGCTAGACCTTACTCAGTGGGGGGGGGGGGGGGGGGGGTTAGAGGCCACAAATTACCGACAAAACTAGCCACCAATAACTGACAAATATATTTATGCCAATGTCCCAATTTTTACAAATTTACTGACCCTATAAACCCGGCGAAACCCGGGGCCAGGAGCTAAATTACATTTCAGTTTTCCCCCTCCCGCCCCGGGCCTCCCGCGCGGTAGCTTTGGCATTTTAAGAAGACGATTCGTTGTACCGTTCCCGTCTCTTAATTCTTGTCTCGCCCCTACCTCGCAAAGCGCAGAAGCTAAAGCTACAGTCCCATATACGTCCCGGACCGTCCCGGACCATCCCGGACCCCATCCGGGGTGATCCGGGATTCGGTCCGTGTTGACACCGTGTTGGCACCGGGGTGGTCCTGGATGGTCCTGGATGGTCCTGGACGGTCCTGGATGGTCCTGGGCGGTCCGGGAGTCGACCCCGGATGTTTTTGACGGTCAAAAACTGCCGGGGTGGTCCGGGACGGTCCGGGACAATAGTTTGATCCGGGGTGATCCGTGTAGCCACCGTGCTGGGTCCGGGGTCATCCGTAGTGGCGCCGGGGCGGTCCGTGTTGATCCGTGGCAGTCCGGGAGTGAGTTATTGACCGCCCAGGACCATCCAGGACCATCCAGGACCACCCCGGTGCCAACACGGTGTCAACACGGACCGAATCCCGGATCACCCCGGATGGGGTCCGGGATGGTCCGGGACGGTCCGGGACGTATATGGGACTGTAGCTTTTAAAGCATCACACTTTTTTGAACAAAACATCCCGGACCATCCCGGATCACCCCAGACCATGGTCCGGGATGGTCCGGAGTGGTCCGTGCTCGTCCGTGCTGGTCCGGCTTTATATGGGACTGGGGCTTAAGACGTTCATTTAATTATTAGAGAAAGAAGACGATGCGTTGTACCGTTCTCGACTGATTATTTCTTGCTGTCTGTTGCCTCGAGATCACTGGATCCGAAGAAATGTAACAACGTATAGCAAGAATCCCTATTCAGTGAAGGATTAATTTTTACCCTTTGCAAGAATCCCAGCAGAGCCCCCCCCCCCCCTGCACCCCATCCATAAAGATAGAAGTGGTTCCCAAAACAACCTTTTGTTGTATAAGGTTGGAGAGACCTTTTATTATTTACACAATTCCTTGCTGTCTGCTGCCTCGAGATCACTGGAGTAAAGAAAGGTAACAATGTATAGCAAAAAAAGCCGAGAATCCCAATTTAGTGGAGGATTTATCCCTTTTAAGCTTCCCGGCAAAGGCTCTCTCATGCACCCGATCCGTAAAGATAGAAGTGGTTCCCAAGACAACCCTTTGTTGTATAATATTGGAGAGAATGTGAGTTTTATGTAGTTAAAGCTTCTAATAACCAGGCACGTAGCCACAGGGGCTACGGGCCTGCTAATTGGGGACTATTAGATTTGCCGAACGACCGTAACGTGGATTGCTACGATCGACGTCCTTGTAATGCACTGCCTTGAATGGACGTTACACGTATCAGTCAACGCAAATCTAAAAGTCCCTAATAACCACTCCCGTGGACCTTTTGTCATTTGCACAATGTGTTGCCGTCTCCTTTTCTTTCCTAGTGTTTTTTTTCTACCTGAAAAGTACCACTTTTCCTTTCTCCATAACATACGCTCCTATTATGTAGAGCAACTTTTTCATTTATTTCCCCAGAGCTCGTTCGTATTTATTATTGGTTTAACTTTGTTATTTATGAAATGTATTTTCAGTCTTTCATGACTAAATTGTTTTTAAAACCCATCAGGATTTGTTGTTGTTTTTCTCATTATAAAACTTTTCGCGCTACGACGTCACAAATCGTTTAATTTTCTCAATATTCAGACCATCACACCCAATTGCAAAGTATGATTCTTAAAAAGTATATTGGACCATGTGAAGAGAGAAACAAATATTGGAATCATCCCTGATAATGTAATCACAATTATGAAAATGTAGGGGTATATAACAATGTCTAAATATGGTAGATGTACATGTTGATGTTTCCCTTTATAAGGTGACCCTTATATTCCAGAAAGTGCCCTATTTTGCTAGTGCACCCCCAGCCCATTTTGGAAAATGCTCAACCGCGCCTGTCTGTGCTTAATCTTTTTTTTTTAAATTTAGCTTTGATTCAACCATACTCCCGATCCTCTATCGTCGAGTCCGAAGACTGAAAGGTCCTTTATATTTAACGAAATTAAACGATATTTGGTTTACAGTTTATTAAAATACTGAACCTGGCAGCCCGTAGGCTGAATTGCATACAGTTTATATGATACAATTAACTGAATTGCTCATTAATATTGTAACAATTATCATACAATATGAGAACATTGAAACATAAAAACAATACGGCAATCAAAATTTAAAAAAACAGTAATCTTAAAACAGGGTCAAACTATGTAAACATATTGCATTGAGAGGTATAGCAAAAAGGGAGAGTAGAGGAAAGTACACTGTAAAAAAAAATTTGTTCATTGGTAATTTTTACGTATTTTTTCCATGTAGAATTTACTTGAAAACATTAGTTTTGCCACTTACGCACTAAATTTAAGTCTTGCTAACTCAAATTTTTAATTTAGTAGAACATACCAGGAATATTTAAGTAAAATCAAATACATATGAACTTTAAGTAATTTCAGCTTGTATTAATTTAGTAATTTTAACTCAAAATCAGAAATTATACGTATTACTCAAACAATTTATGTTGATTATTCTTATCTTTTTAAAGGAGGACCGATGCAGTGCGTAATAGAAATATTTACATAATTTATGAATATTCATTAAGACCAAATTAAACTCTTTTTTAAATAAAACAATTCTTTTTTGTGGTTGAATGAAAATTTAAGGACTTTAAAACATTTACTAATTCATTTAACATGGCTAAGCAAAGACAAGACAATTTTTAATTGTTACCCAGTTCAAAACAAATCAAAACTTGATATTTCAGGAAATTGTCAACCAATTTTCCTTTTAAGATGCTACGATCAAATATAATTTTTATATAAAATTTGGAGCCTTTCAATATGTGTCGAATTGAAGCGTATGTAATAGTTTGTGATGGTGGTAGATAAATATATATACGGTTGAATAGAAGAAGTGATAGTGATTAGTGATTAATCTTAAATAGATGTAGTGAATGATTAGTGGATGTTACTTGTTAGATTAGATGGGTACCAAATCGTGCAATATGTAATCCTATCATAGCTTTTTTTTAATTATCTAAAATGATTACAATACTTAAATTATTTACGTTAAAGGTAAAGACCAGTATTGGAAACGCCCCTATTTCAAAAAATGAAATGGAAGCTCTCATTACCAATCATGTGAAAGAATATGTTTTGACCAATACATGATGATAAAAAATTTGCCGGGAAACCGCCTACTAATTTATATATTTGGTAAATTTGTTTCTCTCATGGTCTGTGAGAGATATAGAGTAGTCCCATATACATCTTTCTGTGTATAGTGCTTGTAACTTTACGAAGAATGGGCCAAATTTCTTATCATTTTGATGATTCCAGAACCTTGCAGATGCTAGATGCTAGATGATCAACCTTTTCTGATCGATTCCACAACGTTTCTTTCACAATGCAATCGCATGACCATAACTGGTCTTTACCTTTAATGTAACTCGATTTAACTGAGTAAAAATGTATTCAGCAAAATAAGTAAATTCCACTTAAGATGCCGTAGGTAATATTTACTTAATAAAAATAAGGCAATTCTTTTCCTCAATTTTATTGAGTTATTTCGACTATTATTTTTTTACAGTGTAGGAGAAAAGAAGAGTTAGAGAAGAAGGAATCGAGAGGAGGATAGTGGAAAACGAAGCAAAGGGAAGAAACAAGGAACTGGGAGACTGAGAAGGTAGGGGGGGGGGGGGGGGTAGAAAGAGGCCTGCCGGGAGAGAGAGAGAGGATAAGAGTAAATACTCACTGTGTATGAAAAACTACAGTTCATAGTGCCACCGTCAATGTCTTTTTTCCCCTTCTTTTTCTAAGGCGTATTTGGGTTAGAGCCATCTCAAACCAGGCGGAAAATTAAAAAGAATGACAATTGGGTCCTAAGGAAATTCACATTCATAAAAATTAAAAAAAACTTCCTTCCGATAATTCTATGACCGAAGCAAAAAATAATGGGAATATAGATGAAAACATATACATCTGAGAACGAGAGAGAGAGAGAGAGAGAGAGAGAGAGAAGGGTTGATCTTTATTATTATAATTTCAGCGTTGTTTTAGTTGTTTTCATCCCCATAAATTCTTACGGGCCTTCCTTTAAAATAAAGGGACGCTGACCTTTCATCCAGCACTTTATATTAGATGAAGGATTTTCGCCCTTTTTTTTCATTAGTAAAGGGGTCACACCCCTTTTGCCACGCCCCTTCTTCGCCTCTAGCTTTGTGACTGTGGGTCTCGATCTCGCGCTTACGTCACGTACGCGCGCGCGCGCGCTCGTCAATTATTTTCCCGAAGTGTTGTAATTGTAAACACTCATCGAGATGGTTGTGATGGAGGCCGAGGGAATTGTTAACAACGTTGTCCACTGTCATATCTTTGATATTATATATGGAAATATCACGGAATTAAGATAATACCACATTTGAAAATAAGATGAGTATGGAAAAGAACCGTGAGAACAGATATGCAGGTATTCCAAGACTCGAAGATTACAGCGCTTCACCGACATTCGGGTTCGTCGAAGAATCTCCATCGGTAAGCTAATTTCAATTCCAGCCGAAACTGCGGCGGAGCTTTACGTATGAGTATGAGCTTTGTTCAGGGGTCTGTGAGCTGTACTTGTCTAGCTCTAGTATGGGTCTGTGCATTCCAGAGAGTGCTTCTGCTCTCGGCAGAATTTATATTGGGTGCACGCACGATGTCAATTATAGATTTGACAAAACCTTAGGCTAGGGATAGGGCACACTGTCTCGACTAGCACTGTATTCTATTGTAGCTGTTTATGAGCCGACTTGCAGCTGTGTGGATGCCTGCAGTCAATTATGAATCCTAGATCTATTCATGATTGTAAACGTAAGGTTTCCAATAACTTAGATAGGAATAACCATCTGGTATGGGTCATTTCTTTAATTAAACTGACATTTGTTGACATTTCCCATACACGTATAGAGGCGGTCAGAGAAGCCAGGCCAGATGCAATCTCAGCGGAACAACCGTTGATATCAGAGACTGAAGCTTTCGGTCTACCAATAACTAAGCTTTATTTTCCTGATCAATTAATGAATGACTGCTTATAGAGCTTTCTTTGAAAATTTGAATGTGAACCTTTTGAACATCTGTACAACTGAATTTCCTTTTATTTATTTATTTTGATAAATTATCACATGACTTTCAAATATGAAGTGAAGCATGACACAAGTTTTAAATCATTGCAAAATTATCTTTGTTTTTGCTGAACTCCAGTTCTTCAACATCTTTCAAGTTTTAAGAGCAACCTTAAATCCCATTTTTTCAATTGTGTGTTTTGAAGACGTAAATTCATTCATTCTTTCATTTTTGTATTTTTTTTCTTTCTTCTGTAAATGTACACTATTCCTTTGCCATGATGTAATGTGTGCCCTAATATTTTGAAGTGCCTTGAGCATTTAATTAGAATGGATAATGACACTATACACTGTATTATTATATATTATATTATTATTATACATGTATTAAAGACTTTTGTCAATCATCTGTTATTTGGTGGGGAGGCGCACACAAGTGAAAAAAGAAGGAAGGTCATCACGTTTTTGGAAAAAGAAAATAGAAAAATTAAAATAGGTTATTAGGTTTTCCCTCTCTTTCTTTCTTCCTTTTTTTTGGGGGGGGGGGGGGGGGGGAATGGGGAAGGAGCACATGCCCTATGTACACCATTGATCCACAACTGTTTGTAAGAGTATACTGAAATTTGATTAAAGCTCATAAAATATAACAGTACACAACACTATAATGTTCCCTTTTTTCTTTTTGTTTCAGCTGAATCTCCCTGAATACTTCCAGCGATGGGTCGAACTAGCCACTCATACCGAAGAGCTGATCAGGAGTGGTCAGATCAGGCAAGAGGTTCACCAGGTAAGTGGGGCATTTTCTTTACAGGCTATAGCCCTCATACATGAGAGCAGTACGTGAGCGATGGGTCGGCTGCCCGCAAAAAGGCTGTGAGAGCTACAGTATATGTATTGTCTATGAGAGGAATGGCCTTGTTTGCAGGCAGCCAATGAATTTAGATTTTAAAAACTTCTAAAGAGTTTTGGTAAATTGACAAAGAGCTCAGGGGGGTGTTTCACAAAGATCCTAAGTAGAACTTAACTCTAAGTTGGACTTCAAAATTATGGACAGCCATTGGAGTCTTAAAATGAAATATATTCAAAAGCAGAAATTCAAGTATTTTATACTTTTTTATAGATTCCAAATCCAGAACATGAAATCTCCTTGATGATAGAAAATATGAATGATTTGAATCAACATTTTATGCCTTTCAAAATAACTTTTACAAAATATTTTCAAAGATGCTAACGGCTTTTCATAATTTTTAAGTCCAACTTAGAGATAAGTTCAACTTAGAATCTTTGTGAAACACCCCCCTGGACCTCTGTCCTCTGGTATAAAACACATTTAGAATATATAAATATTGATGTGAGAAATTCACCCATTTGCCACACATCCTAAAAGAGCTCCTGCAAACAGAAAGGTATTTTTGTTCTTTTTTGCTGATTGACAGGTTGTGACAGCAAACAAGACTTGTAGTAAACAAGATGGACAATGGCTGGCCTTCTGGCAGGCCTTTAACAAAGTTTTCTGAGGCCTGAGGGTTCACTTGACTGGTGGCCCACGAGACCAACATCAGTTTGGCTAGCCTTCTGAAAAGTTAGTTGGGAGCCCCAAATTCGCCAAAGCTTTGATGGCAAAATTTCATTTAAATTGTATCATAATGTGAAAGAGGATGTCATTCAAGACACACTTCTGCAAAGATTCCCCCCCCCCCAAAAAAAAGGTGTATTTGAAGACAGATATCAATTGATAAAAGAATACATCAGTTGGGTTTTCTGTTGTAAGCAGAAAACCTAAATTTTGTATTCTTTCATCAATAATCGACTTCAAACACATTTGTTTGAAAATCCTTGCAGAAATGTATCTTAAATATCATCCTATTTCACATTATGATACAATTTAAGTAAAATTTTGCCATAAAAATTAGGGCTCCCAACACTTTAGAGGGGCTTTAAAAATGCATTTAGAAATTTCATTTTAATTCGGAAATGCAGTGTTTATGTATACCGGTATGTTAATCAAGAAAAAAAGAGTGTGTGTTTGTCTCTGTGTACATGTACATGCTTGCTTGAAAGAGGGGAGGATTTGGGGAAGATTGTTTACTATGAACACATAACATGACTTTGTAATTGGTCTATCACATTCGGTAGCCATGGGTAAAGTCTGTATACTATGATGTAATGTATTAATAGTAATTTTGATGGAGCCGTATGTTATTGTTAATAAATAAATAATATTCCTGGCATTATCCTTTGGTTTCGTATGAAATGTCTATCATTTGACCCTTTTGATTTTAAGTGACATTTAATTGAACTCTCAAGGATTTTAAAATATCAACCATTTTAATGATTATTTATTTGCTAAAACTTTAAGAATAACAGACCTCCCATACAAGAAGAATTGATTTTTCAAAATTTAGCCCTTGTGCATTTTCTCAAACGCTGAGCAGAAATCTATACTTTTTTATATACATAAACTTTATGTGAGGAAAAAACCTATACCACAGCTTTGTCAACTCTTGTGGAAATGACTACAATGTGAAAGGAAATGAGTTTTTACCAAAGTTTGAAAATGTCTCCCCCGGGAAAGGAATTAATTAATGAGGGTTGAAAATTTGTCAATATATGTTGGTCAATTTTGTTTCGCCGAATCCACCGGCCTGTCACTGTAACCATTATTCTCTCATTTCCTTTTTTTCATTATACATACCGGTATGTATAATTTGATTTTGAAAATCGTCAGTCGCCATAATAAACAAATAAACATGATAAATTGTTTCTAAACTAAATTACTAAATTGAAACTGGTAATAGTGAAGAATTGAACTCTCAAGGAAGATTTTGTTAATGTTATATATCTATTTATGTATACATTTATTTATTTCACTTATTTATTTTTTCACTTATTAATTTATTCTTTATTCATTCATTTAATCATTCATTCATTCATTAATTCATTCATTCATTCATTCATTTATTCATTCATGTTATTCATTGGTTCATTGGTTCGTTCGTTCATTCCTTTGTTCATTCCTTCATTCGTTCCTTCATTCGTCCTTCATTCGTTCGTTCGTTCGTCCTTCATTCGTTACTTCGTTTTTTGTTCGTTCGTTCCTTCATTCGTTCATTCGTTCATTCATTCGTTTGTTCGTTTATACGTTTGTTCTTTCATTTAAAACTCTAAAAACTCGAAAAAATAATTGATATACACTACATGCAAAAATCTCTATTCATGTTTCGGCTTAAATCCGGCATTCTTCCCCCATCACTATTCATTTTATTCCAACATAATTTTCATTTTCATTCCTACCCAACCAGGCATTCCAATGACTATGTCACCTATTTAACGCAAAAACAGCCTTAGCTCAAAACTCACTGACATTCTGGCCCTGATTCCTGGAATGCACTACCCCCTGAAATAAAAACGATGAATACAATGCTATCCTTCAAAAGAGCAGTGAAAAAGTTTCTTATTGCTCATTAGTGCACCAACAAAATAATTTTCAGTACTCTTTACTTTTTTTTGCTTCCATTCATTGAAACGTTGATTATAACCTTCCATGACCTGGTATGAATAAACGTATGAATAAAGAGTGGCCTTCTTGGGATACTGAATAAACACTGTCTTGTATACAGGGCTCAAATTAATTTTTTGTCCACGGGGGCTCTTCCCCCGAAAAAAGAGCCCCCGTGAGCCTTCTCACGGGGGCTCTTTTATTACTGACGGGGGCTCTAAATACAAATATCCATTGAATTGGTACCTATGATACTCCTCAATTATTTGCTATTTCATCATTATCATTTCAATCAGCATTTTCCCTCTTAAAAATTTACAAGCTACATAGCTGTTACTGGCCTGTGTATATAATATATACGCATACAACACTGATCTTTATGATGTCTTTAACGTGACATGTCTTCTTCTCCCCTTGCAAACGAAAAAGAAAACATGGTCATTAAAAGGGATTAAGCGACAAATAATGATTGTGATTCAAATTGATGCGAATATTTGTTTGAATAAGCACTATTATTCACCCGAATCATTTTTGTAAAAATAACTTTTACAAATCTCAGCCATGCTTACTGAGTTGAGACGTTCCATTCAATTTAAAATACCCATTACATAATACACTTCTCCTAATCTCAAAGTGATCTTACAGCACAGTGGCAGAATTGCATGGCTGAGATTTGTAAAAGTCGTTTTTACAAAGAAGATTCTGGTGAAAAGCATTGCATATTCAAAAAAATCCTTGCATCAATTTGAATCACAATGATTATTTGTCGCATGGTCCTTTTATTAAATAACCTTGTTTTCTGTTTTGTTTGCATAGGGAGAAGAAGCTATGTCTCGTTAAGAAATCATAAAGATCAGTTGTATTATGCGTATATACATATGATACCAGAACAAATGTTGATTATCAGAATGTCATTTTGGAATACCTCTATACAAATACCACATTGTCTTTAGCCCGTATTAGTATTAGTTATGATCCAATATAAAGCTATTATTCTTTATTTAATTCAGTATAATGCTTTTCCTCAAAAGTAGTTTTGCTATTTTTTTAGGATTGAGACGCTAAGAAATAGTTTAAATGTACATTACACGAACCCTGAACCATTGCAAAATGATGGTGGTTCTCTCTCTCTCTCTCTTTATTTTAATCATGCATTATCAACTACATATAAAGCAGCAACCAAAAACTTAGGGTTATCTGAGATAGGTGAAAGTAAGAGTTAAAAAGAAAGTCATGCTAAAACGGCGCTTCACTTCCCCCCGCCCCCTGAAAAAAATAAAACAGATTAGTAGTCCTCCTCTCCAGAATCCCCCTCCCCCTCCCCCTCCCCCCCCCCTGCTTAAATATCACATTTTCACTTGGCAGCCCAAGGGGGCCGGGGGGGGGGGGGGGTGGGAGGAGGGGGTTAAACCCCCAACCCCCCCCCCCCCCCGCCGTAGATCTGCCCATGTTATCATATCATTCCACGCAGGGGCGGCGATCCGGGGGGGGGGGGGACGGGGGGGACACGTCCCCCCCTCAATTTTTTTAGGGGGGGGATTGTCCCCCCCTGGAAATTTGAAAAATTTAGACTAATAAAATTGCAAAAAAAATCTCGCTCGGTCGCTACGCTCCCTCGCATAACATCCTTGTAAAAAAAAATTCGCATTTCGTCCCCCCCGGTCATTAACAGAAATCGCCGCCCCTGATTCCACGACATTTTGGTCTTCCTCTTCTCCTCAAAAGGGACTTTTAGATTTGCGTGTTACGTCCTTTTAAGGCACTGGCAATCACATGTGACGTCCTTTTAAGCACTGGCAGTGCCTTAAAAGGAGGTCACACGTTGCAGTCCACGTTCTCATCGTGCAAATCTAAAAGTCCCTAATATTGATTTACTGGTCGAGGTTCATTATTTGCTGACAACGAAAAACTTCTCCAGGCCATGACCATGTTTCTGCCCTTGCCCGATCGCCTCCAGCTCCAGCAGACATGGCGCGGCAGCGTGCACACGCACCGCTACTAACGGCGCAGTAGGCCTATAACCACTGCTGACGGCGGCACTGCACTGCGAGCTGAATCGGTAATAATAGGCCTACTCATAAAACGAGAAATCTTGCACGCTAATCTTAGTTCCATTTCATTGGTTTAAGGTTTGAAAATTGAAACTCAATATTGTGTTAAAGTTATAACAGAAAAGATTATCTTTATTTTATAATTCCACCGGGGCGATTTTTAATTTTGCAATTGCCCCCGTGAGCAACCTGACGGGGGCGATTTTGTAGCTCACGGGGGCGAATCGCCCACCGCCCCCGTGTATTTTGAGCGCTGCTTGTATACAAACATTTCAAGGCTCCGACTCGAAGGCCCAGGTTTAAAATCAGCTGGCTGATCTCACATTCACATTCATATTGTCCGAACCTCGCGAGTCTTCTCATTCTATTATATCCCAAGTTGGCCACTCAATATTCAAATTTGCATCTTCTTTTTTATCTTTATATAACAAATTGAAATCCAACTTTCACGTACATTTTTGAATCTTGATGTCCATCCCCTCTTTCTTGTTTTTCTTCTTTTTTCTGTCTTTTTCCCCTTTTACCAATATTTTTTACCTCCATATTTTAAGGGTAGTCATACTATCAAGCTTTGCTTACTTTGTCAACCCTCCTGTTTGATGTTTTTGATTAGTTACAGCCAGCCTTACTTTATTCTACATATATTCTTTTGTCATGTGTAAATTTGCAATGTTTATTTGTTATATATTGTAAAAATGCAAAAGAAAAAGAAAATCAAACAGAAATAAATGAATAAATCAAAATCAAATAAATTAAATTTATTCATTCATATTTGTTAATATATTTTTACCAGAGCTCTGTGTTTTTCCATGAAAGTAATGTCTTGTACTTTACATTTAACTTGTATCAGTTTGATAGAATATACACAGATTTATTAACATTTCTGCATGTAATTAGCAAGTCTATGATTTATTAATTGATGTGTTCTATCTTTGACATTACTATTTGCTGCCAATACTTGATGATTAACAACAAGAATGATTTTAAATTAACCCAATGACTATACACTGTATCATCTGATTCCCAGTGCTCGTTATAGGGATCACCCAGTTCTTTTTTGTTTCATTTTTGTCATGGCTTTCTAGCTTCCAGTGCTGGATCACACTCGACTTGATAGCCCCCAAGCTTATAAAGCTGCCATGGTGTGTTTAGTAGCCCTCACACAGGCCTATGTATGGTGTGAAGGGGAGGATGGAATTCCTGAGGTAATTAGGCTTAATTAGTTTTCAAGATTTTTGCTATCATTTATTCATTTTGTAATCTTCATGCCTTTAAAATTAGTCCCAATGCTGCAGCATATATATATGTACATGTGAGTGGCCTTGCTAGGGCAGCCATTAATTTTGACGGAATCAGCATCATTATAGGGGGAGGGAGCCCGGTTCTTAAAGGATGAAATTAACAAGCTGTTTGATGATCAAGGGGAGGATGTGGGATGGGGTTGAATTTGTTACGTTCTATTCCACCTCCTTCTTTTACTCTTTTTTAATCTTTTTTTAAATTTTCTTTTTTTTATGAATTTATATGTTTTTACCATTTGAGTTTCCATCTGAGAGGGGGGGGGGGGGGGGAGGGGTACTGGATCCCCTGTACCCCAAAGAGCTTCACGACTGTTACTTGTCACAGGTTTTTTTTCTTCAAAATAAAAAAATGTATATCATAGAAACTTTTTTATATTGGGTACCGGTATACTCTGGAGAAGCTCATTACGCAAGGTCATGTTGAGGGTCAATGGAAACATGGTAGGCCAAAAGTTAATGAGGCCAAAAGTTTAATGGGCTGATGGAATACAAGAGATTACTGGCATAAACATCTTCACATCAGCTATAATCGCTATGCTGTAGGATAGAAGTGGTTGGAATTTTATCATCAGTAGGGTCACAAAGGGTCAGTCAGACTCGTAGGACGACAAACGATACTTGGCAGATAATTAGAAGAATTCACTCTTGGAAATTTAAATATCTAGCTGTATCAAAAGAGATGTAGTCTTTGGCTTATGACAGAATATTTGTACGCCTGTTAGGAATGGACTTTGATCAGGAATTGAAAATAAAAGAAGAGAAAAGGTGCCCTGCAGTATTAGTACAGGCACACTGGTTATACTGCAGACCTCTCCCCACTTTTAGTCTTAATTTTTTTTTTTTAATGGGTATGTATTGTATGGCTGAATAATATATCAAGATTGAATAAGGAATTGTTAATGCAGCCTACAATGTAAGTACATTTTAAATGGAGATGATTTTGAAATCAATACATTCAACATTATCATTTTATTTTACTTTGCTGCATTATTTTTTCCCCCGGTAATTTCCTTCTAATAAAGGTCCTACCTCGATGTCTTGCTGTCCCTTTAGCAGCTGTAGCAGACTATCTTCAAGTACCTCCGTCCATGCACTCGTACAGTTTTGGTCTCATCAATTGGAAACTCACAGATCCAGACGGGAAAGTAGAACTCGAGTACGTTTTTCTTTACACAGCTACATGTATAGTTACCACCAATGTGACAATGAAATAAACCGATTCTTTGACCACGTAAATAATAAATGCACAAAATTGAATATGGACAAAATGCTGTTAGACCAGTTGGATAATACACAAACTGTAAAGACGAAGTATATAAAACTAAGATTGAACATGGAGCCACTGACATTTAAAATAAACAAGCTTGCCGCCTGTGTCTTTGATTCTTCCCCATTCCCCCAGCAATTTAGAAACGCTTGTGCAAATCTGTGGAGGGTCTGATGAATCCTGGTTCTTCTGCACAGCAACCCAGGTGGAATTAGACTTTGCTCCAGCCCTTAACAGTATGATAGAAGCACAGAAGGTAATTAAAGAAAAACTGGAATAATTTGTTGTTGAATATTTTGTTTTTGTTGGTGGATTTTTCCTCAAAATACTTGAACCCTAAAACAGAAAGGAAGGGAGTTTAATATAGAGAGAGTGAGGGAGGGAGGGAAGGAGGGATGGATGTTGGAGAAAGGTTGATATATATATATATATATATATATATATATATATATATATATATATATGTAGATAGACAGATAGGTAGATATATAGACAAAGAGGGGGAAGGAGTGAGAGAGAGAGAGAGAGAGAGAGAGAGAAGGGGGAGGAAACAAGCAAGCAAAAGCCAAGGGAGGAAGGAGGAAAGAGGGGATAATAGGAAAAAAAAAGAGGGAAACAGAGAGAGAGAGAGATTCAAGGGAGAGGAGGAGAAAGATGAATAGATCAGAGCAATAATAATAACAATTATATAGCGCTCAATACATTGATCCAACGATGTGCCTAAGCGCTTTACAGGTATATTATTACCCCGGTTGTCGGAGAGATAGAGATAGAGATAGAGAAAGGAAAAAAATAGTGACAGAGGAAAAGCAGGGTCAAGATATTAATTGGTAGGACCTAGGAGATACATAGAGAGAGAGAGAGAGAGAGAGAGAGAGAGAGGGGGGAGAAAAATAAATCTCATAATTAAGTACAGTGTTTTTTTTTTTTTTTTTTTTGTGGCAGTCTTTGAAGCAAAACTTTTCAATTTTTGTAGCGTATGTTTAAATTGCAATTGTGATGATTTGACCTTTTTGATCCTTAATCTAACCAAGTTTTCTTCCAGATAATTGTCTCCCCTTGTAGCATTGAAGTGTGAATATTTGATGAGAAACGCTTATGCTATCAATCAAAGTTTCTGTGATGGAATGGATTTTGTAACAATTTGATTGCATTACTATTTTCAGTGTCAAAGTGTGTGGGCAGAACAGAAACCTTAAAGGGGTACGTCCAACATGGCATCAAGTTGATTTTAATCACAGTAGAAAAATCAGAGAAACAGATCACTGAAAGTGTGCGAAAAAAATAATGAAATTGCTTGGGAAAGTTTAAAAGTATCTTCACCTATGATGAGGTGCAATGGTAAACCGCAGCTTTTTTTCTGTGAACTAAATGAATGGCGAGTGAGGATGAAAAGGTAGCTGTGTGCAGCAACGGTCTTATGCGTACTCGCTGTGTTGTATAAACATACAAAAACGTGAAGTGCTGTACACCTAAAACACTCCTGCAGTTGTAGTTTAATAGCCATGTGTGAACAAGCCTTTAAAGTTGTGATTTATGATAGACAAATTGGCTGCAGGCTTTCATGACGAAACACCCTGAGTCGTGCACGTCATTTGTTACCAATTTCAAAATATGGCTTAAGGCATCAGGTGGGGCACAATTGCAAAACTGAAAGGTTAATGCAAGGGTTTGAACCAAAGGTTATTTGGTGATTGTTTTGTTTTATTTCTGTAATGATTTAAAATGGTACACTCAATCATTACACATTTTCCTGCTTTTCCCTGTCGTTTTTTACTTTTTTCCTTGTTTGCCACTTCTTTTGGCATTATCTCGAAATAAACATCTTTTTTCACTTTTCTGAGATTTTTTCTCACCTCTCCCTTCAAAAATCTGTCTTCCTCACTTAAGTGTAATGTTTCTATCGGTAATCTCTTTTTCGTAGGCCGTCGTTGACAAGGATGTGCACAAGATGATCAAAGAGTTGCAGACAATAGAGGGAGCTGTACACAAGATGAAAAACAGTTTTAGCAAGATGATTGGTAATCAAAGAGTAGTACGATGTTATTTTTCTAATACCCCATTCACAGTGGCCTCAAACACCGCGACAGCAGCGGGACTGTCCCGCTGCTGTCGCGGTGTTGTCTTCAGTGTGAAGGCTCGGACCCGTTATAAACTATCGCGGGATAACACCGCCTAGCGATAACGCCGACACAAACTATCGCTAGGGACGCCTAGCTACAGCAGCGGGACAGTCCCGCTGCTGTCGCGGTGTTTACTCAGTGTGAAGGCTTTCCGCTATAACACCGCGACAAACACGTGTGATTTGTTTACTTACCTATCACTGACCTCTTTTCTACAGCAACGGGGAACATAAAGTGAAATAGAAATAAAGTAACCAGTGGATTCAAATTGATTTTATTATTATGTAGGTATTATAATTATCCAAATAAAAATATTTCACACTTCAAAAAATTAAAATATTCTGACTGGAAGCAATAAAAATGCTAGTTTTTTAAAAAGTAATATGATCGAGGATACAAAAAGCATGTTTACCGCGCAATTTCAAGCAAGTATTTCCGGTCATATCGGGGTCACTCGCGGGTCATGAGCCATGCATACACGTGTTTGTTACGGAGGTAATAAAAATCACCCGCTGCAGCGTGAATGGGTACATGATATTTATCCCGCTGCTGCAGCGGGATAACTTTTCTACTGTGAATGCATTTGTAGCGGTGTTATGGCGGTGTCGCCGCTCCGCTACAACGCCGCTACAAATTTCAAAACCACTGTGAATGGGGTATTAAAGTCTTATGTCTGTTTGGAGCCAGAAGGGTGTTAACTCATATACTTTAACACCCTTTCGGCTCTGAACAGATGATTATACATGTATCGTGCATTTAATAAATCATACATTTTAAGTAAATTATAATTAATTTCATTACATTGCAGTCTTGAATTATTGATGACCCGTTTTGGAAAACATTGATATTCAAAGCTGCATCACACTTTTTGAAAATTCAAGTAAAGTTACTGAGGAGAGAACTGAGCATTCATCATATTTTTTGATTATAACAAATTAGAGAGTTCCCAATCGCATCAAAGTTTAGTGATTAATCTGCCACTTTAAGACTTGTATCTAGCCTCTCTCTCCTTTCTCAATCTCTCCCTCATTAACTATTCCTCTAAATATCTTTCATGGACCCCCCCCCCCCCATTTTCTTACATGTACAGTTTCTAACTCTACCCTATCTGAATCTTTCTCCCTGTTTATCTGGATCTCTTTTTCATCAGTGCCATTTCAAATCCATAACCTCTCTTTTCACTAATAACTTCAAGTCTTCCTCATTCCTTTATACCTTGCATCTGATTGTGATGGATAAGATTTCTTGATATTTAGAACGTCACATTCATCATCTCTGTATTTCAAATGGGTTCTCAGACTACGAAAGTAATTACAAGTGATAATGAGATAATCCATCAATGTTCCTGTTTTGTGTGTGAAGGCTTTAATAGGTGTAAAAAGAAAGAGAGAGAGGGAGGGGGATGAGAGAGGAGAAAGAGGACGGGGGAGGGGGAAAGAGGGAAGAGTGGAGGGGGATTGAGGAAGAAAGGAAAGGACAGAGGGAGAGAGGAAGGATGGAAGGGGGATTGGAAAGTGAGTGAGGGAACTACCTATCACTGAAATAATATTGGAAAGGGGAACAATGAAGGATTATCTCATCATCACTTGTAATTACTTTTGTAATTTGAAGAAGGAGATTGGGAAGGGGAAGGAGGGTAGGAGAGGTGAAAAGAAGGGAGATAGGGAGAAAGTTAAATAGAGAGGGGTAGGAAGAGAAAAGGGGATGGGAAAAAGTTGTAGAGAAAGAGGGAGGAAAATGGGAACTGTGAGAGAGAGAGAGAGAGAGAGAGAGAGAGAGAGAGGGAGAGGAGAGAGAGACAGAAGAGGAGAGGAGAGGAGATAGGAGAGAAGATGAAAGAGAGAGAGAGAGAGAGAGAGAGAGAGAACGAGAGGGGGCGAGGAGTGATATGGGATGGAGGGAGAAATAAAGGGCGGCAGAAAGTAAGGGAAAGGAAAGAGATATAGTAAGGGGAGGGGCATACTAAGAAAAATGCTCTAAAAGATATGTACCTTTCATTTTTGGGGTATTTAGAGAATGCATATGAAATTGCAGGAATCAATTTATTGAAAATCAGCCTTAACACCAAACTCTCTTTAATCTCATAATTAAGATTTTGTCAAGTAACAACCCTAAGCAGACCCTATAGATTCCCTGGAAAGCCAGTTCAATGTATATCTACAGAACAGTTCATCTCTTCAGAGCAAGAAAGGCATTAACTTTGAGTGTAATGAGGTAACACTCTTTTTGCTCCAAACAGATCATTTTTTATCCGTTGAAAATTGCCTTCAATTTTAAAAATAAAGTGCGATATTATAATCTTGAATTCAGCAGTGAACTCATTTTCTCTACCAGACTATTATTTATACATGTTCATAATTACACTGTAGATGAATATTATTACATAACAATTCTTTATTCTCTTTTGTACAGATGGATGCAGGCCTCATGTTTTCTACAATGTATTCAGACCATTCCTAGCTGGGTAAGGAAGTGACAGAGAATGTGAATTTTCAAGATTTTACGACAATCAATAACACTTTGCGATTTCCAAGAGATAGAATAAGCATCACATTATTCATTTTGTATAAATTTCATATAGAATATTGGTACTAAGACAACTTTATAAAAAAAAAAGGAATTTGGCTGGGTGAATTTGAAAGTACATAATTCATTTAATCTAACATTTCCAGAAATGTCAAAATATGTGCATACACATTAAGGTTATATATGAATAATTCATTGTATATATGTCTCAGGAATGTGTTCAGGAATGTGTTTAGGAATTTTAGTGCAAATACATGTAATGATAATAATAATAATAATATGTCCATAATTACAGTCCATTTATGTGGTGCAGCTATATGAATAAACTCTACTGGGCTTAATACATAGTATCTTAGATTAATGTCTTAATTACCAAAGGAAATTGGTGCCTGTATGTATTGGTATTGATTTTAAATGTTCTCAGTTCTTTATTTTCTGTTCTAAGAAATCAAATAGATGAATTACATGGCTTTATTTACAATTTAGCACTATTCTAGGTAATCAAAGTATTATCATCTGTCGAGAGCCAGACGGCTACTATATGGCATTTAACACAGAGTCAATTGATAGACCCTCTTGCTCTTACCATATGATATACAGATACCAATGTTATTCCATTTGATATAGGCTAATACCTTACATCTCTTGGTCAGCCCTCTGTCTTCGCTGACAAACTGACTCAGGCGGACATCTGTTTGAAACTGAGTTGCGTCTTTCGGATGGTGAAGTTGAAGGTCGGTCCCCAGATGTAAATAATCATATCTGATTGATACACATCTGTAGAAACCCAATTACACATACACACACACACACTCACACATCCACAATTAGATATTAATTGACAAAATTTTGAATAGTTTTCTTCTTTTTTATTTTTGATCAACAGTTGGGATGCACCCGCCTTTAAGAAGAAGGGACTCAAAGGGTTAATCTATGAGGGAGTCAGTGAAGAGCCACTCTCGGTGAGTATGAATCTGTATATATCAGACATCTTCTTCTGTAAAGATGTGCTAGTTTTGAAGGCATTAACTAAAGGGAATGCGGACAAAAGCTATATTGTCTGTTGAGAGTATATTAAAGGCATTATCTCTGTGGATAACGCCTTTGTAGCTTTCAGCAGAGACAATTTTTCTTTGATAATATGTTTTCATATAAAGTTACCTTTTATCAGTTATCAGTGGCCTGAAAACCCAGAAATTATGATTTTTTATCTTGGAGATACAAGTTTCAATATCTCATTCATGTGAATTCAGAGTTATCTTGTAAACAGAAAACCTTAATTTACACTGTCCCGATCTTTCGGAATTCTCTTGATGACTCTTTCCAGGGGCGTACGCAGGATTTTTTCAAGGGGGGGGGTTTTAAAATATTTTGCTCCCGAAAATTTGAAAATCGCGTCGGCCGAAAAGTCGCTCAGTGGGGGGGGGGGGGGGGGTAAGCGGACACTTTTTTTTTTTTTTTTTTGGAGGCCAAAAAAAAACCGCAACGACTCAGCCGGCACAAAAGTCGCTCAGTGAGGGGGGGGGGGGGGGGGGGTAAGCGGACACTTTTTTTTTGTTTTTTGGAGGCCAAAAAAAATCGGGGGGTAAGCGGACACTTTTTTTTTTTTTTTGGAGGCCAAAAAAAATCGCAACGACTCAGCCGGCAGAAAAGTCGCTCAGTGGGGGGGGGGGGGGTAAGCGGACACTTTTTTTTTTTTTTTTGGTCTCAAAATTTCAAAATTTGACATTTTTTTACGTAGGGGGGGGGGTAAGGTCACCTTATTTAAGTTAGCCGTGGGTATAATTTTTTTTTTTTTTTTTTTTTTTTTTTTTTATAAAAAAAAAAAAAAAAAAAAGCCAAAGGGGGGGTTTTAGTTTTTTTTTAGGGGGGTTTACATACATTAAAATACCAAAGGGGGGGGGTTTGAACCCCAAAACACCCCCCCTGCGTACGCCCTGACTCTTTCAAACACTCACCAAGTCTATTTTCAATTAAACTTAATTCGCAGTTTAATAAAGCTACTTAACACTTAGCAGGCGCGGATCCAGGATTTTTTAGGGGCGGGGGGCCCAATTTCTTTTTTTTTTGCTCCCGAAAATTTGAAAATCGCGCTGGCCGAAAAGTCGCTCAGTGTGGGGGGGGGGTAAGTACTTTTTGGGGGGGGGGGCCCTCAAAAATTGAAAATTTGCACCCCCCTTCCTAAATATATGTTGTATCTCCCTCAAGGCCAGTCCATATTATATATGACCTAACTCTATGATTCATTATTTGTATCATTGATGTCCAGTACACAGGAGGCAGTGCTGCTCAGAGTTCCACGTTACAATGTCTCGACGCTGCTCTAGGTGTAACCCATCAAGAATCACAAGGTATAGCTCTTTTTGTTCCTTCACAGTGGTATTCTTGTACGATGAATTGTACAACACATCATAGGCTTCCTAAGAGAATTGCTTTGCTAGAAGATTTCCAATAATGATTTTCAATAATCTCTTTATAAGGATATAAAAGTCAGGTGCAATTTTAACAGAATTTATTTTACTTGGTAGATGTTAAAATGTAGGTTGAAGACATTCTAGTTCAATACCAGTGGTGTAGTAATGGTTGTATAATGGCAGCTGTTGATACATAATAATCCCCTAATTTCCAAAATAATAAAACAATTCAGTTGCTTTCTTCACCTCTCTGCATGGTGGCCTGGGCGCCATTCTTGCAATTTTGCAAAAAACAATTAGCATCAATTGATTAAAGGATTGCTTTGTGCAACACAATAACTTTGCAAAATTATAAGTTTCCGGCCTTCGTTATAGCTCCATGACAACCTTTATCAATCTTGCGCTGGAAACAGTTAAATAATCTTAAAAGCCTTTGGTATGTCTATCCCATGATAAATTATAATGTGGCATATAAAGAGCTAAAACTCTTCTGGTTTTAAGCAGACAGAGTGATGATATATGTTGTATATAACATTCTTATTTTTTTGGATTATCCAAGATGAGTTTAAGTCCTGTCTTTAACCCAACAATGTCATAACGGTTTCATTGTGCTAGTGATGCAGTGTGTGATTATCTTTGTTCTTAATTACAGACAAATTGTGCAAGTCCTTTCAGCAGTATATGCCCAAGCCACACAGAGATCTTATAAAGGCTATACAGGAAGGACCATCAATAAAAGAATTTGGTAAGGATCAAAACAAGATTGCTTCTGTCAATTTCATACAAGTACATATATAATTATATGCACTCCATTTAAATGTATCATCAAATCTTATAATCTGTGAGATTAATTGCTCCTCAATTTATTTTATTAGATGCATTTCATTCCTTTGACAATTTTAAACTTTTGAAATTATTTTTTATCTTTTTTGTGATGTTTATGATGTGCTATGATGAATTAATTATCGTGATTGGTGAACTTATGCTTGGTGCACCTTGGTTTAATGACGATACCTCAATGCGTTATATTAAACATTGTGAAAATGGACACCAGACACTCCCATTTCCTGCATCTAAGCACACCCAAACAGATCTAGAGAGGTCCCATTTTTTCAACACAGGTGCATATGCCTGTCATCATAACCCATTGACTACTGACCACCAGGTTACAGTAGACAATGAGTTAAAACACATTTCCAATACAAAATTATTATTATTATTCATTTTTTCTTTATAAATCTGTAATTCCAGTTCATAACTCTGGGTCATCAAAAGCAGTCGAGTGCTTCAATAACAGTCTCATGGCAGTCAAAGGTTTCCGAGATATCCACCTTCAGATTGTAACTAGGTGAGTTTGGAATACTAAGTCAAAGGATAAAGGATATTTTCGAGTTGCGAGAGGGAGACTGTAATTCCATACAACGTACTGTCTTGAAGCTGATATTGAAAAGTTGATATTATACATGTAGTAAATAAGAAATATGATTTGGACCACCAAATGCAGAGGTACATGTTAACAAATTTAAAGGTCTTTGTTTAATTGAGGACATCATACCAGGACAAGGATATTTTAACAATAACCTCTTAGATAGATGATAGATAAATGGTATTTATTGATTCATTTCCATGTATCGCAGTTACAAGTAACTGAATTGTGCATGAATAAAACATTGATGGTGAAGACAATTATACATTTCAAGTGATATCACAGTAAAAAGTAATTGAATTGCACATGAGTAAATTGCTGGAAAAAAGCAAGAACTTAGGGTTTGAACCGCTCTCGGGCAATTTGTATTGTGGATAGATAGCTGTCAGGGCACATTTATTTGTCAAAAATGTGGGTCATGGCAACATCCCAGTCCCTTCTAGTGACCAAAGAACATTTAATACCGGGATTTGTAAAGTCATGCTTATATGAGCAACTGGCTCACTGGGACTTCATTTTTCCTGCAGAAGGGCATTGAAAAGGGATCAGTTCAGAGGGATTAAAAGTGTATGAAGATGTATAGAGATTGATAAGCTTCAACGAAAGCATCTTTGTGAGGTTAATCTTCAACATCCCAGTCCCTTCCAGTGTGACTAAAGTAACATTACCAGGATTTTCTTATTTGAGCAACTGGCTCACTGGGACTTGAAGTCATGTTTCCTGCAGAAGGGTATTGTGAACAGGGATCAGTTCAGAGGGATTAGAAGTGTATGATAATGTATAGAGATTGATAGGCTTCAAGGAAAGCATCTTTGTGAGGTTAATCTTCAGTATCTTTGATCTTTTCAGGTACATCATTATCATGTCACAGAAGAGTAATGCGAATAAGAAGTATCTGACGCAGCATGAGGCTGGTACTGGAGGGTCAGGTGGGTCTCTGTTTGAATTGCTGTCATTTGCTACATGTACATGAAATGGTGTAGCTCCATGAGGCCTAAAAAAAGAAAGATGTAATATTGCCTTTTAGGTGCCAAAACATGGGTCGGTCAGAATTTTTTTTTTTTATAATTTTTTTTCCCCTTTTTTTCCCCCTCTTTGGGCTGATATTTTTCAGTTTGTAATGCTTTAAGATTTGTTTTCCTTTTTTAAGCCGACCATAGATTTCAAGATTTTATGGGTCGGTCGCAAAGGGCAATATACTTGAAATAATTAAATCACAATTCACAACCCCTTAGTAATCTCAATGTTCAGTCATTCCTAAATTTGTAATGTTTCACCAGCCTGTTTCTCTGCTTCCTGGACAGTTGTTTATCCAAATCAACTGGGAAAAGAGGTTTCATTGCCATTCCACTAATGTGATTATCTTTGTGCCAATTCAACTTAATCTAATGGCATGCAAAAGCAGTCTTCTTTTTCAGAGCTTTGACAATTATTCATTGAATTTTCCCTCCCTCAGAAATAACCTTTGCTCCCCCTCGCCACTTTTTAAACAACAATTGGGTAATTCCATGCACGGTGCCCCATATCAGCTGTAACATAGGCCTATATCCATTTATTTCAGCAAAAAATGAAAATCTCTTGATATGACTTCTCCTGGTTTCACTAACATTATGAAGTGGTCTTCATATGATATGATATGATTAATTTCTTAATTAAATAATTAAATTAAATTGAATTGAATTGAATTGAAATTGAAATTGAATTGGATTGAATTGAAATTGAAATTGAAATTGAAATTGAAATTGAAATTGAAATTGAAATTGGAATGGAATTAAATTGAAATAGAAGGAAAAAAAGACTTGTCTTGCACAGTTGAAATGGTCCTAAGCAATGAATTGTCCATCTCCCCCTTCCCACCCCCTCTAGGTTTCATGACGTTCTTGAAGGGACTTCGAGATGCCACCATTTGCACCATGCTGGGTAGGGATCTAAATGAGCACACCACTACGGCAGATGCAGTTGCCAAGACAACAAATGGTGCCATCTGTAAGAGTAGTCGTCAAGATGTGGAGTGGAGTAGATGGAAGAAATACATAGCATTTCTGACTCTTTGTGTACTGGTAGTGCTTCTTATCATTTTGATCATCTTTCTGGCATGGACGTCTATGGTACCATTGTATACATACATCTACATATGGCTAGTATGGAAAGTTATACTGCAGTAGGCTTAGGATTGCACCATGTGAGAGAGTGGGGAGGATTGGGGAGCTAGTCCTGGAAAGGACAATCAGTAATCTTTCTTTCTTGAGTGTGTGAGTAGTCCTGATAAGGACTGTTGGTAATCTTTCTTGAGCTTATAGTTCTAAAGAGAACTATGTGTGTAGTTGTTTTACTTACTGAATTGTTCTGTTTATTGCCTGTTTTAAAAACAGAGAAGACACCAAAATTTTGAATGTGCATTAATTCATTTAACTGTTTTCATTCTGTGCAGCTTTTGTACTTATCTGTATTTTGTACTTGTCTTTCTGCCTGTTTTAATAACAGAGAAGCCACTGACATTCTGAATGTGCATTAATTCATTGTCTGTATTCACTCATACTGGTATGTGCTATATTTTGTACTTGTCTTTCAACAATGTTATCTAAATGCTGATCCCTTACAAAAATGTACCATGGTAACCATGGTACTTTTGTCCAAATAAGGGAGTTTACAGATAGCACATGGTACAAATGACCCCCCAAATCCACAGATCTTTTACACATGGAGAAGTTCCACTTTGAGCATCTTAGAATAATAACTGCCAAAGTCCTAGATGTGCTTCATGAATACTTTTTGTTTGCCCTCTTGAAAGGAATACTTCCACCTTCGTATCTTAGAATGTACCATTGGTGCATAAATCAATACTGTTACATAACTTTCCTGAGTGCATGTCCAGTATTCATCTCTGGTGGGTTTTACCTTTTTGGTACAAATGACCTGTATCTGTAAACTCCCTTATTACCATCCACCATGGTAACCATGGTTATCATGGTACCTAAACAATGAAATACATTGTTTAATGACCCAATGTATTTCATTGTTTTGGTACCATGATAACCATGGTTACCATGGTGGATGGTAATTTGGACAAAAGTAGCATGGTTACCATGGTAAATTGTTGTAAGGGATATTTTCAACAACAAGTGAAGTACAATTCATTGTGGTATTGAGAATCAATGTAATCAGTGATATGGCAAAACTACATAATACAATTTGTGGGTGAAAATTGAGCGTATTAGGTGTTATATTAGTGAAATCTACCGGGGGTAACTTCCAATCAAATCTTGAACCTGAGTGCACCCCAAAAATGAAATATGGCACCCCTCCCCATAAAAAATGATCTAAATTTGTTGGCAAAATAAGGTAAGCGACAAACGTGGGCCTCTACTCAAAAGACGGCCTTGATGTTCATGGGAAAACAATGTATTGCCGTTTAAGTTGTTTTACCGTGCTCATTAATGACCAATACGTCAGACAAATTCTTCATGCCAGAGCAATCGTACAGTGTATGCGTATGCATGTATAAAATAAAGCATATAGGTTAGATAGGCTTTGCCAACAAATCATAGGTAAACTATTTTTCTGCTGCTAAACAATGGAGACACTCGTTGTGCACACGACTGAAAATTGCACACTTGAATCAATGCAAATTATGTGAATATCTGGGGCTTTAATGAAATTATATTCGATTGTACAGAAAAGGATCCAAACAGTTTTCAGACAGAATACGAAATATTGAACAAAACCTTAAATAGAACTGTACTTCTGTAAAGTTTTAAACCTGAATTGCCGGAAAATGTGCTACGTGTAAATACATTGTTCTGCTACCTGACGGCCGCAATATCATTTTAAACAAATCATGCTGTATAAAGCATTTTTGGTAAATTTGAATCACTCAATTTCAAAGTACATCATATATTCATTGCTCTCTAAAGCGGCACGACGACATGATATATCCCCTCGCCGATGAAGTCGGAGGGGATATAGAAACGCCGCCGTCCGTCCTTCCGTCCGTCAGTCCGTAACAAATTTGGTTTCTGATCGATAACTTCAGTAATGTTTGACGGATTTTAATGAAGTTTGATATGAAGGTACATGATATCAAAATACAGGCTAAGTTCGATTTTGGAGTACGTAGGTCAAAGGTCAAAGGTCATAGCTCATTAAATATGCGAAAAAATACACATGTGGTTTCCGATCGATATGATGAAATTTGATATGGAAGTTCATGGTATCAAAACACAACCTAAGTTCGATTTCGGAGTATGTAGGTGAAAGGTCATAGCTCATTAAATATCCGAATCTGGTTTTCATTTGATAACTTGAGTAATGTTTGACAAATTTTAATGAAATTTGACATGAAGGTAGATGGTATCAAAACACAGCCTAAGTTCAATTTCCGAGTATGTAGGTCAAAGGTCATACCTCATTTAATATTCAAATCTGGTTTCCGATCCATAACTTCAGTATTGTTTGACGGATTTTAATGAAATTTGATATGAAGGTACATGGTATCAAAATACATGTACAGCCTAAGTTTGATTTCCGAGTATGTAGGTCAAAGGTAAAAGGTCATAGCTCATTAAATATGCAAAAACACCTAATTATATATGTGAAATTGTGGTTAATTTTCTTGCCTATTAATATAATAGTATAGTCTAATGTTCTGATATATATAGGCCATTTGTACCCTGCGAGGGGATGCTACGCTTTGTGTTGACTTGTTTTATATAGTTTTGTTGTATAAGAATTACTGGAAAATAGGCTACGTGTAAATATATTGTTTGCTACATCACCATCGCAATATCATTTCTAAACAAATAATGTTGTGTAAAGCATCTTTGGTAAATCTGAATCACTCAATTTCAAAGTACATTGTATTTTCATTGCCCTCTAACGTGGACAACATTCATTTTTAAGCTTTGCTGTTTAAATATAAAAAAGTAATGAAGTGTGTTGATCCTGGGGGTTATGTCACATTACTGTACATCATCTGCGTAAATCACTTTTTGAGAAGCACCCTAAATGAGAATCAAAGTCTCAAGTAGTTTTGATACCCTATTTAGGGGAACCTGTCTAACGCTTCTGGTCTTTAGACTGCTTCTTCTTAGACTTTTGTAGCCAAAAAGGAAAAGTCAAAGTAAGAAAACCTGATTTAGAACCCCTAACTTTCATTCAAAGAAAAGAATAGAAAATCTTATTTTTTACAATACTAACAAACCCTCTATTATGACTGGTGAATTTGATGCCCTTTTCCATCATCATTTTCCTGTTTTTATACCGTTAATGTGATATGCGCCTGGTTCAGAAAAAGTACTGTTTTTACGCTTTTTCATGTACGCTGATGATATGCAGGCCTTAATGAGTTGTACCTGAGCTGCTGATAAATTTGTTGCCATTTTTTGACACAGGGTTTAGATTTAGTGTGTGCTTTCGAGTGATACATGATTTGTTATTAGCATAAAGTGAATTTTTAAGAAAAGAATAATGAGCTGCATGGATGTCTTTCATGGTGGATGTCTTTTTATGAAAGAAGTTGTGAATGTTTTGCACAAATTATATTTCTGCTGAAGTTAGACTCCAATATCCATCTATGTTTTAAAAGGATGTTTTAAATGTAAATAGACTGGCTTAAAATGCACAAAATTTTGCCCTTGAAAATGTGTTATAATTTGAAATTGATAAAACTGCAATAAGATATTTGCTTTTATTTTTGTGGGTTATATATATTTTTATAATCGTTATAGAAATGCCCTCTTTGCTTACAAATTTGTGTATATAATTTTTGGCAAATTTGGAGGAAAAGAGAAATTAATATAATTCATAGGATTCATATGGTTATGAATTTTTTATACGGTGTTAAAATAGCCCAAAGTGTATCTAAATGTCCAAATCTAATGAACATTAAGAGTTACAATTAGTGATGTATCAAATTTGATTATATTTTAATCATTTAAATTCCATATATATATATATATATATATATCGATCCTCGATTATTTTTTAACAACAGTACTTAATTATTTATTGTGTATATTCAAGGATTTTTAAGGGTTATATTATCCATATTTTTGTTATTGACTTCATTAACAAATCAGATGTAATAACTCAAAGAGGCCAAGCAGGCATTATAGAATTTTAGGAGCTCATCATATTATGTAAGTAAAAAATAAATATGCACTATTGACATTGTTTTCCAAGTGGTAGTTTGACTTTGCATTCTTTTTATGATTTCACCAAATGATATTGTTCGTATATTCAGAGGCTTTGTATCGTTTGAATTCCATCATATCATGTTATTAGTCATTATAATTATACCTCACTTAAGAAATCCAGCCATCTGATTGGTCGAAATTGCATTCATAAGCTTAAACTATTTCTGTAAAATTGCCAGTAACCATGGTTAAAATAGTTCTAAAATCCCAGTAATGACTATTTGATTATTTCCAAGGATTAGTATAATCACATATCATCTGTTAAGAATGAGGATTGAAATCAGTAATGTGGTGACATAGACAATTGGAACTTTATGTGTTCAGTCTTTAAAACTTATTTTTCTGCAATACAAGCAAGCTTTACTTTTATTCATATAGCATGATATTCACCTCAAACCTCTATCCTTTCTTGGTCTTATTATGAAACTATGAATGAGAAGGGCCCCTAAGTCAAGTCGTGTACTCTAAGATAATCATGTTTAAAGTTTTGAAGCCTTTTAAAAGCTAATTACCCAGTTTTCTTGGAAGTTTTCGGACTTCTCCTGGACATCGCAAATAGATTAGTTAGTTTTCTACAGAACACTGAAAAACTGGCTAAATTCAAGTATTCATTTTCTATTTATAGCTGCAATTCCTCTAGATTTAGTCCCTTCCCATTCTCATACAAAACCGTGAAGGAGACGGGCAAGTAAATTAAGGCTCATCTCTCCTCTGTAGGGCTAGTTAGGGCCCTTCTCACCTTTATAGGGCAAGTTAGGGCCCTTCTCACTCATTATCAAAGATGCGCAGAATACTTGAGGCCCTTTTTATTTTGATAAAATTCTCGTTAATAAATTAGACCTACGAAGACCTACAAAGTGATATGCATGAGTTAAGACCCTTCTCATTCTCAACTGATAACACATTTTTGTCTTGATTTAATCAAGTACCGGTAATCTTAATTCGCGTAATCTTAATAATCGTAACATTAGTTCACTCGTATGTATTCAAAGTCAAACATGTTATTGAAATATGATGAATTTCATGATACTAATTGGTCTTTAAAAACATATGAAAGATTAAAAAAATAATATTGTATTGATAAACCTTGATTGCATACTCATTATTTTCACAAGAATTGACAGCATCTTTCTCCTACTCATAAGGCCAATGCGCCTAAATAAATCCATGCGATGGGCCATTCTTGGTCAAGAGAGACCCAAATTTCTGAAAGAGATTGTGTAATAATATGTCCATTTATTTGTAGGGCAAGATGTTACTGTGAATCTGTAAATATAGGATTTCAAAAGAAAACAGTTTAAATAAAGCACTTTGTCAAGATGCTTTTCTATTTTTATTTTTATAGGCCATGTTTTGGCAGTGATTATTTCACTTTATATTGGATAGTCGCATTTTAGTCAGCCGGTTGTGCTTCTTCACAAAGGGATTTTTCCACAAAGAATAAAGGAATTTCTTACTAATGATATATATCTATAAGGAAGGCATTT